GCCAAGTCAATTCTACAACAACGTCGAGGGGCTTCTAACTGGAAAAAGCTTTATTTACAGCTTTGGACTACGCAACAGTGCCACGTTTGACTTACGATTTAGGCAAGGGGGGATGCAGAAACACAGATGCAAGACAAGCTCAAGACAACATTAGTTTTGATCTAAACACTAGCTTTGGTTCCATCTGTTTTGAACTTAAACGAAAAGCTAAAACATCGCAATTTTCATTTACAGAAAAAAAGAATGTCATTCTCTGATATCCTGGCATTATTAAATAACAAAAATGGATGTTTGTGGAATGAGTGTAACTGCTGATCTACTTTGTAAACTCGTAAAGGGATAGTTCGCCCAAAAGTGCTTCATTTATTCTCCCTCATGTGGTTTTAAACCTTTATGGGATTCTTTATGTGTAATATTTTGAAGAATGCTGGTTGCTGGCACCCATCCACTTCCAAAGTAGGAGAACAAATCACTTTGATCAAGTGAAGAGTAAGTAAATGATAGTACAATTTTGAGGTGAACTATCCCTTTAATGAGTATTCATACACATCACTAATTTAAAGTAATGCTAGTGTAACCCCGCCGGTCCTTCACTACGCAACCCGCTCCGAGCTGGAATCAAACCGGAGACCTTCCGCATGGGAGTCGGTTGCTCTAACAAGGAGGCTAAAGACCATGGCCTCTAGCTTTTGTGGCTAGAGCACCTTTAGAGGTCAGAGGAGTGAGGTTTACTGGTGAGCTGGCCTCCGTTACACTAGACGGAAATGAAATATTGGATTATGTTACACATTTCAGGTAATCGGATTACTTTTAGATTACTTTTTGAACAGATTAATTAGGATTTGATAGTTTTATGTCAAAAAATTGAAACATTTACATTCACAAACAGCTATATATCAGATGATACATGAAAATAATCTGAAATAGCATAATAGCGGAACTTCAAAATGTGGCATAATCTAATTACAATTATATACTATATAGCAATGTTTTTGGAATATGACTACATAATTCAGATGAATGTGACCCTGGACCACAAAACCAGTCATAAGTGTCGTCTTCTTTATTCGAAGTGAGAGTTATGCATCATCTAAAAGCTGAATTCATTTGTTAGAGAAGCCTAATATTTGTCTGAGATGCAACTATATGAAAATCAAGGACCTGAGGGTTCTCAAATATCAAAATATTGTGAAATCAGCTTTAAATTGCACTTATCAATTCATAATACTAATTGAAAATGACATTTTTATATATTTACAATAGAAAATATAGTAAATATCTTCATGGAACATCAAATATGACGGAATTATACTGAATATCTTACTGGAACATGATCTTAATATTCTTTCATTAATTTTCCTTTGACTTAGTCCCTTATTTATCAGGGGATGACACAGCAGAATAAACCGCCAAATATTCGACATATGTTTTATGCATCGGATGCCATTCCAGCTGCAACCCAGTACTGGGAAACACCCATATAGACACAATACGGCCAATTTAGTTTATTCAATTCACCCATAGCGCATGTCTTTGGACTGTGGGGAAAACCGAAGCACCCTGAGGAAACCTACGCCAACACGGTGAGAAAATGCAAACTCCACACACAAATGCCAGCTGGGAACCAGCGACCTTTTATCTGTGAGGTGACAGTGCTAACCACTGAGCCACCGTGTCACCCCATTCTAATGATTTATGCATACATACATACATGCATGCAAGACTGTTTTGTAGTCCAAAGTCACATATAATTAGCTATTGCCCATCACAGGAAACAAATGTGAAGGTAAACAAAGCTAGTGTGTCTATTCTAGTACAGCACAGGCCAAAAAAAGCATCATGCGACACGGACCAGCCTCATGTGACTTAACACACACGTGCATTTCTATCTCTACTTCACCACAACGCCTAACACACCACACTGAGAGTAAAAGCCATGCAAACACAGCCGGGGTATCTAAGATAATCACAAAGCGCCGGGTTCAGAGACTGTGGATACTGCATTGTGTGTGTGTGTGTGTGTGTGTGAGGAGGCAAAACTGCATTATAATCGCATCGACTTTTGGACAATACACATAAGCATGTTACATAATTCATGACACTCATGGCTAACAATCTTTTTCATGGCAGTCAAAGACAACACTGATCACTGATTGTAAACACAGAAACAGTGAGTGTGTGTTAAGAGAGGGAGAGATGATTGAGTTTGCTGATGCTACAGTGCCATCCACTAAAAGTATAGTATAGTATAGTATAGTATAGTATAGTATAGTATAGTATAGTATAGTATAGTATAGTATACACTGTAAAAAATGCTAGGTTCCACACAAACAATTTGTGTTGGGATAACATGAAAGAATTAAGTTAACTTTACATATTAAAAACCCCTCAAGAATAGTGTTGTTACAGCCCATTTTTGAAATAAGTAGTTTACTATTTGTTAAAACTACTTATTTAAAAAGTAGCTGAAACAACACAATTCTTGAGTTTTTTGGAAACATCTTTATAGTTTTATGCTCAATGCACTTATAGTAAAGTAAACATAAGCCGATATGACTGTAAAAGTCTTTATTGTTTACCCTTAAAGCTTTTTGCTCCAAATATTAACAAGAAAACTGCAAATGCTTGCAGTTGTTTTTGCACAAGAGTCAAGGTTTATTTCTTAAAACCTTTCCAACATTTTGTGGAGATGCTGATGGAGGACTGTAGTTTTGGAGGTTTTCTGATCTCAAGATCGAACTAATGTGCCAAACAAAGCACTGTGATTCTTGAAGATGTTTTTTGGCCACTAAAAGCATCCTCCAAAAAGACAGACACATGTTTCTTTTTCAGTGTATCTGCTGTTTTCTATTATCAACTTCCCAATTTTCCAAGTTGTTCAGTTTCTTCATGACAGTTTGCATTTATATGGTATTATTATTATTATTAGTATAATTTATAATATGAATTTTTCTATTTGTTTTAATATAAACAAGTTTTATGTATAATATAACTCATTTTTTTTTGACCACACTACGTTATTATAGTTTATGTATTTGTTTGCTGAAAATTCATTTAAAACTGAAATAGTGTGAAACAAATCTTTGCGCTTAACAAATGAAATTAAATATTTAGGCTAATGGATGTCTTCAGTGACGCGAGTTTCTACCGTTTCCTTATCCACGAAAGTAAAGGAGTAAAGTAAAGAGACTGAATGGAGGAGGCTCATTCTTTATCCTGGCGCTGCAGATGGTCTGTTTAACTGTTTTCCCGCTAGTGAAGCGTTCAGTTTTTCCACTTACAAATAATTAATGCACCATGGCAAGATGCAACTGACTCCTAAAGGAAATGTGAGATGAGACTCTAATTGGTTCAATGCATGTTATGCTCAGAACACACCCATAACTCATTAAGAGAACAAGCACAACCCTGTTAAACCATGCACCAGGTCGCGGAGTATATTTTTCCATCATCAAAATAGCAAAAGTAGATTCAGACATGCTCTTAATGCTTTTGAGCCATGTGCTTTACACTTTGAATCTAGATCTTTAAAAAAGAGCCCAGAGGCACAGGCTTTAGTTCAACCCATTATAAATAAAATCAAATTAAAAGAAATACCAAGCGAGTTCAGCTTTTATGTTTATCACATGTAAAGCCCTGTGAAACAGAAAAATCATCCTTGGACATTTTCCTTTTCATAATCACCCAGTACAAAAAAATGTAAAATCCCAATAGAAACATACATGAAAAATATTTAGCACATTTGGATTTATTGGGATGGCAATTACTGCAATATTTAAATAAACGCTGCATTTAAAAAATCCATATTTCAAGAGTTCACACTTAGCTGATAATCAATAAAGCGTAATTAGCATGCTGTCCCGGGAGAGAGCCCTGAGCTCGTAATATCCTCGAGCCTGGGGCTCCCTCCGAATAGAAGGGCGAGAGGGGAGTTTGAGCTCAGGTAGGTCTCAAGAACTCCCCTGCTTGTCACCGTGTGAGAAGTGTAAACTCAGGTTGTCTTGGGTGATAATTTGGTTTAGTCGATTGGCTATGGTGTATGTTTTTGGAAGGCGGGAGAAAAACCCAAGGAAACACGGGGAGAACATAGAAACTCCGCACAGAAAGGCCAACAGGCCCGATAGGAGGTTGGACCAGCGGTGTTCTTGCTATGAGGCAACAGTGCTAGCCACTGGGCCACAGTGTCGCCCTATCAGAAAAAAAGGTGGGAAGTAGGGGTGGAAGGGGAAAACTTCAAGACGAAGATAACTGGAGTGAAAACCTCTGGTTATTTATAACGCTTCCGTAATCATCTAATAGAGCAGATTACAGAGCTAATGAGGTGCCAGCCGTGTTGATCATAAGCACGTGATCCTCTCGAAATGAGTTTAGAAATAAACCACACTTGTAATATTCTATAGTTGTTGTTGTTTTTTTACTTAAACGGACAGTTCACCCAAAAACGAATTTACTCAAGTGGTTCTTCTGTTCAACACAAAACAAGATATTTTGAAGAATGTTTTGCCATTGACATCCATAGCAGCAACAAAAACAATCAAATAAAACACTGTGGAACTCAATGGCTCTTTTCTCCCCAGCATTCTTCAGTATAACTATTTTAGTTATACTAAAAGAAACTCAAACAGGCTTGAAACACTTGAAAGATGAGAGTAAATGATGGCAGAATTTTCATTTTGAGTGAACTCTCCCTTCAATATTTTAATTTTCTTTTAATATTCTGAGCAAAAGGTTCAACAAAAAGACGTATTTACTCAGATTACCAGCATTAGTGAATGGCACTGTACTGTAAATACTGACGGCAGTTCATTATACAGAAAAAAATGACTAAATCAGATGTATATCAATATTTCGACAAAATCAGTTTTGTTTTGTCTGTGTGTACATACAAACATACAGATGATTTACACAGAGCATTTAAGGCTCTATAAACCACACACACTGTATTTCCCAGAATTCAACACAAAATAATCCAAAGCAAAAGAACAAACGTAACGATTCCAAAGGCCAAATTAATCCCACCCGTTCCCAAAGCGCCGCATAATGAAAACCCGGCCTCACTTCTTGTTCTTGAGCTGGTTGGCGAGCCAGTCGAGTCCCTCGTACAGGCCGTCGCCGCTGGTCGCGCAGGTCGCCTGTATATACCAGTTACGATGGCGGAGCGAGTGAAGGCCCAGTTTATCTGTGATCTCGGCAGCGTTCATAGCGTTTGGCAGATCCTGAAGTCAAGATTACAATCATGATAGCAGAGGAGTTAGTGAGAGTGAACAGTTGATTTAAAACAGGAGCTGTGTCCCAAATGGCACACTATACACTATGCACTCATGCACTATGTACTTATGCACTTACACACTCAACAGTTTAGTATATGTATGTAGTGTCATCCCAAATGGCACACTAATGGTTTTTTACTAAGCGGAAATTCAAACCGTTTCCCTAATGACGTTTGATGGTTGCCAAATCACTGAAATAAACGACCAAATTATCAAATAATACCTGCCGTGAGTGTAACTGCATTCACCATCTGGAGGCGCTGTAATCACTTTCGTAGGAGAATTTTGCTTTCACAATCCAAAATAAATAAAGTTATCCAACATGTGCGCACAATAGCTCCGCCCCTTCCGCTACGTGAGCAAACCTGCGGTTGTTGAGTGCGTGAAGTGTCCATCGTTACACACTTTACTTTACCGGCTGAATGAGTGCATCATCCAGGTAATTAAAGTGCACTTATTATTTTTAGAGTTTTCAGTGTGAACACACTACTTACACTGTTTATACTACAAAATGGCGTAGAATAGAGCATAAGTATACGATTTGGGACGCAGCAACGATTTGGTGTCTTATTTATAAACATGGTGTACACACAAAACCAGGGAGAAAACATGCGTACACTTCCCATGCAAAAGTAGAGATCTATGAAAAATAAGCTTGAAGGGAAAAGTTTCTACGCAAAGCTTTGTTACCTGTTTGTTTGCGAAGACGAGAAGAACAGCGTCACGAAGTTCGTCTTCTGCGAGCATCCTCATCAACTCCTCTCGGGCCTCGTTCACCCGCTCCCGGTCGTTGCTGTCCACCACAAAGATCAGACCTGACCACAAAACAGCAGAGGTGAAGAACAGAGACTTACTCAACAAGCAACAAACACAAAACAAAACAAAAAGGCTGCACAGATTATATTCAATAGGGTAGGGAGATGTCGTCCAATTTGGCATTGTACGATGTCAATTGTGAAACATCGCGATGGATAATGGCATGGTGAATTAATTATTTGTAAATAATTTATGTATTCATAACAAATTAGTTATTTGTAGCCTACCGTTTTAACTACCTGACCTAAATAAATAAAGATAAGTTAACACAAATTACCACCTGTCAATCACTTTTTCAGCAGGACTCTGTCATGAATAGGTAGATAGATCTGTATTATAATGGCGTCCATAAACTTGGTTGTTAAAAAAGGTGCACAACCAATAGAAACCAACAAACAGTGTCTGAGGTTTTCCCTAAAATTACTAAGTACACGCGTGAAATCGAAAGATTAAAGCAGTGTACTGACGCTGTCACACGTTACCTGATAGATTCAAAAGATTGAAGTCGTTAGATAGGGAAGATGAATTAAATATCACGTTTAACAACTATAGTGAGACGAGATCCAGCAGTACATCCTTTATGAACTGCCCAACGTGCACTGCTCTCTGGGTTGACTGCTGGAGCTCAGACCCACGCATACGCTGCAGCGTATGACAGTGTGTGTTTGTGTCTGTGTGGTGACATGATGTGTGTTTTCAGCGGTATAGTGTGGAAGGAGAGCTTTTCAGAAATGCTAGGTGAAACACCAGTGGGGACACGGATGGTTTTCGTTCTAAAATGTAATTTTAACACTAAGACGTATTAGTGTAAATGGGAGCGTGTGTATTTTTGGCGAGAGGGTAGCTGCTGCGATGCCAGCTCAGCATCATGATGTCTATCGGCCATTGGCGATGGATGATGGCATCATCTATCAACTCAACCCTAATATCCAATTCAACGTTTTGACTTAAATTCCATATTGTCACTTAGTATTATTGTGTCAGAGCTAAGTATGTGGATGATTACTATTGTTATTTTTGCAATAATTGTTTCAACTGTAACTAAATTTTATTTTTAGATTTCCATTATTGCTATCATTTATTATTAATATTATTACTACTGTGTCAGAGCTAAGTATGTGGATGATTACTATTGTTATTTTTGCAACAACTGTTTCAATTGTAACAATTTTTTTGTTTTATTTTTCCATTTCTATTATTAATTAATATTAGTATTTTTGTTTCAGAGTTATAGTATGTGGATGATTACACTATTATTTTTAACTGTTATTTTTGTAACTGATTTTAATTTTAGATTTCCATTTTTATTATTATTATTACGTCAGCGTTAAGTATGTGGATGATTACCAATGTTCATTTTTAAAATAACAGTTTCACTTGAAACAATATTTTGTTTTTAGATTTTTATTTTTATTATTATTATTATCATGATTGTGTCAGAGGTAAGTATGTGATGATTACCACTGTTATATTTGTAATAATTGTTTCAATTGTAACTAATTTTTAGTTTTAGATTTCTCTTTTTCATTTAAATTTTGATTAAATAAAAAAATTACTTTATATTTTTACATTTGTTTTTGTTGTTTTTAATTTTATTTCAGTGTTCTCAAACTAGTACAAATTTTAAAAAGTTGCTTCAGCTACTAGTAAACATTTTAAAGTTTTTAACATTGATGATCATATATTAATGATTGACATAAATATATAGATATTAGAAATTGATAAAGGTTTTGCTAAAGTAAAGATCGAATGCATTATAATCATCGGGCTATTACAGCTATGTGTAATCTACTGTTTGCTTAAGAGTCAAGGAGCTTTAACATTGTCTTTAAAAATGCTTGTGAGCCCATCCTTGGGATGCTTTTGCTCACAGAAGCTGTCTGTGTGTAAATTGATCATTCTCCAGAGAAATAAAGCAATTAAAAGACAATCTTTGTCTGACTTTATTTAATTTTAGTCTTCACATTAAAACGTATTCCTTGTGAATGGGAAGAATATAATTCGCCATTACAGTACCTTGGTATTACAGTGACATTTTTAGTTCAAAAGGGGGAGATATGTTTTATTTTTTACTAAACAATACTGAAAAAAGGTAACAAATCTGATTTAAAATGAAATCTTCCAAATAATAACAGATACCCAAGCAATCTGATTAAAAGTAAATGCTGTGTGTTCTGCTCAACTCGACAGACAAATTACAATCATTTACATAAACTGCTCAATGTAACTGGTGTTTAAGTGGGAGAAGCGAAGTGTGTGTGTAACTCACCCTGTGTGTTTTGAAAGTAGTGTCTCCAGAGCGGCCTGATTTTATCCTGACCACCAACATCCCACACAGTGAAGCTGATGTTCTTGTACTCCACTGTCTCCACATTAAAGCCTGGCAAACACAAACATCACAAACGGACGTACAGTAAACACACTTACAATATCATTCTACTCATGTCGATGGTACAATTCCAACTCAGGGTCATTCTGATTACATACCCCTGTACCTACATTTCTGGAGAGCGCTAAATACCTGCCAGGAGGTACTTTTTGCAATTTATGTTTCGCAAATCCACCAGAGGCCACTGTGTATGCTTTTTCAGATTTCAAATTTCGCTCTTCTCACATGAATCCACCAGAGGCTGACACTCTTCTCCTTCCCTGAACCCAACCAATAGTATTTTCAAAAGCACTGATTGACAAGCGCCCACCCACTACCCTAAACCCAACCGACAGTGTTTTGAAAAGCAATCCAGAAATAGAAAAGCACTCGTGGCCACCTGATTTTTTCACCACGTTTTCAGTTTTTACCACATTCTCACCTTGCTTATTTTATGTTTTGGCTTTTGTTTTTGTCTCGCCTGCTTTCCAGAGCCATTCTGCACCAGACTTGAACCCCTTCGTCATAATCAACTCCAATTTGCGTCTCAATTCCTCTGATATATGTGGTGCGCCACTGGACAAACTGCTAATGGATGTGAGTGGTCAGCTGCTAGCGCGAAAAGGAATGGCATCATACCACCCCGTAGCGTTCGTTGAAATGCAGCCATGCGTACATCCAAACTAATCCAAACTTGGCCCGCGAGGCAATTTGTTCCGGCCCTCCAAATAGAGTGACCAAGACATCAAAAATAAATTTAGTTCAGTCGAAAAACGGCTGCTATATTTATGAAGTGAAGTGCGTCTGTTTAATACAACACGAGCTGCAGTTGAGGGCTGCGCAGGGCGTGAGTCACCTGACATTAAGCGAGTGAGTGGTGCGGGCAGCCGAAAACATTTAAATACTTAAGCTTAAGGCTTCTCAATGCTGCGTTTTTTGTTGCACGGAGCGAAACTGCAGCAACTAAACAAAGTTATGCCACCTGTGCGCTAGTTTAAAGTTCCGAGCTTAAAGCTACACCAAGGCTAATAAGCACGCATGGATTAACTATAGCAGCCAACACAGGCTAGTTCTTGGCTTCTTCTTATCATTATTATTATTTATATATTTTTTTACAATGAGCGCTTCGGGGCAGTATGATGTCATTCCTTTTCGCGCTTACCAGCTGACCGCTTACCTCCGTGTGGAGGGCTTTCCCGCTGCAACCAGTTTGTGTATGTTGGCAAACTTGAGACGCAAAGAGGAGTTGACGACGACAATAGGGTTCGAGAGCGGCTCCAGAAATCAGGTAAGACATAAACAGAATCCAAAAAAAAAAAAAAAAAAAAAACCAACAAGTGAACAACAGAAACCGTTGGTTGGGTTTAAGGGAAGTTATTGGGTGGGCGGGTCAATCGATAAAATTGGGTGGGTTTTGGCAAGGAAGAGGGTGGGTCAGTCGATTGGATTGGTCGGCCGGCCAGTCAGTCAGACAAACAGTGGGTCGACAGCGGCCTCTGGTAGGTTTACGCAAGAACAGTGGGCGCAAACGGCACCCATATATGCCAATATGCTTGCGCAAGCGGAGCGATGCACTCGCGCCTTCCAGACACGCTGAGTAAAAAACATCTTACGCCATACCAGTGAGAGTTGTGCATGGCTTTCAGTGCAATGTAAACAAAAGATATGTGAGACGAATTATTACAAATTATTAAAATGATCTGTATGTATGAACGAAGATGATAACAACAGTTCATTTAAATACATACCTAATACAACGCTTACATTTACATTAGACATGACAACCGTGAAGCCATCATTATTCTTCAGACTATATAATTGTACAACCAAAATCTATAATTGTTGCATCCCTAATTTTTACACAGTTTAAAACATAATATATGAATGTGTCTGAATAAGAAGCATACTTAAGCAATGCACTGATTTTGTTGTGCTTTGAAATACAACATTTGAATGTTTGTAAAAATAAAGCCTATTGTACAATGCAGTGATGTTATGTAGTTTCAAAATGCAAAATATTATCATTTTAATGTTGAAAAATACAACGTGGGTGTCTTAATGAGCAAAAATACAGCATATGGGGTCTTATCTGAGTCATATCTCTACGGCCCGTCATTTGGGATGCTTTTCATGAAATGGCCCCCTTGACAAAATAATTGAATAGCCCTGATGCAGAGAATGGAAGTAATGAAGTACAAATACTTAAGTAGACTGTACTTAAGTAGATTTCCTGCTATCAGTACTTTACAACTTATTTAACTTTTTACTTTTACTTATTACGTTTTACACAAATATCTGTACTTTCTACTCCTTACATTTTTCCAACCACAGTAGTTACTTTCATTTTCATGTGTTTGGTGGCGCGATCTATATTATCTCTTGTCATTGCTCAATATGAACGCAGTTTTGATGCAGTCAGTCTATTTTTCCTCATTGCGCGCCTGCATGCTGCACTCCGCAGCCATTTCAAGGCTATCACGCACCGTACGTGGGCTAGTTTACTTTGAGAAAGGCAAGGAAGACTACGCAGATGTGACAGAGGGAGTCGGCAAATTTAACATGAATGATGCTGCCCTGTTTACACGGTAATAGGATACATTTTGCTCGTTCGGATCACAGGTAAACAAGATAGATGCATTCCACTTTAAAAGCATGCTGTTTTTGCTTAAGCCTTTTGTCCATTTCTGATCATACTACATAGGCTTTCTCTGGACTTTCAATCTAATAAGTGAAAAATAGTGCTTTCTTTGTAAATATTTGTACATTTAATACTAAAGCAATCAAATACTTTATTAAAAAATATATGCATAGCGGTTTATTTCGTTTATTTCTGAAAAGTTAAAATTTCCTAATACAGAATTGATGCTGTTTTTCAGTTTTTATTAATTTCTGAATTTGCCTACTGATTTTACATATAGGCCTATACTGTTATCCTCAATTAATATTTTTAATAAATATTTTTCAAAACAAATGTAAGTATACTGGGCAATTTATTAATAAAAATCTAATTATTCCAGCATATTTTACACAGCGGATAGCGTCTCATCTGCAAGCCAGTACTAGGAAAAACACCCATACACACTCACATTCACACACACACTTATACACTGCCAGTTTAGTTCAGTATTATTCACCTATACCACATGTCTTTGGACTGTGGTTGAGATGAGTGCTTTTTACTTGTTTGTAATATTGTGTGTATTATAATATTTATATAATATTTATTGAAATCTGAATTGAGCGGTAGGCGTTTCTGTGTGGAGTTTGCATGTTCTCCCTGCCTTCGCGTGGGTTTCCTCCGGGTGCTCCGGTTTCCCCCACAGTCCAGACATGCGGTACAGGTGAATTGGGTAGGCTAAATTGTCCGTAGTGTATGAGTGTGTGTGTGGATGTTTTCCAGAGATGGGTTGCGGCTGGAAGGGCATCCGCTGCGTAAAAACTTGCTGGACAAGTTGGCGGTTCATTCCGCTGTGGTGACCCCGGATTAATAACGGGACTAAGCCGACAAGAAAATGAATGAATGAATATTTTAAACATAAGTATCTGTACTTCTACTTAAGTAAAGGATGTGATTACTTTTGCCATCTCTGCCCTGAAATAAACAATAAAACAATTCAATTATTGCAGTATTTGTTTATGCTAGTTAACGTCAGTTCATGAAAATACACTAATTCATTGTTAGTTCATGATAACTCCGTGCATTAACTAACATGAACACGAATTTGGATGCTAATAATGCATTAGTAAATGTTGAATTATGATTAATAAACGCTGTACAATTGTTCATAATTAGTTCACATTAGTAAACAGATCAACTTATTGTAAAGTGTGACCATCTAAACTCAGGTACGCTGTTTTTTTGAAAATGTATTGTTTCTCAGAGAGTGAATTACGCCTGGAGATACCCGTTTAAATAGTATTGCAAGAGTAAAGTATATTACAAAGATATTACAATTTTTATTACAAATAAAATTATGTTACAAAAAATATTACAAAGTAAGAAAAAGCTTTTACCGATGGTTGGGATGGTGGTGACGATCTCTCCCAGCTTCAGTTTGTAAAGGATGGTGGTTTTACCAGCAGCATCAAGTCCAACCATCAGAATTCTCATCTCCTTCTTTCCTATCAGACTCTTCAGCAGATTGCCAAAAATATTCCCCATGATTCAATGTTTTACTTCGTCCTTAAAGCTGCGAGTCCTTTGTGTGGAACAATCCACTGAGGTAAGAGACTGAAAGCCTTGAGAAACAAGGTTACACTGCTGTTTCCTGTAGAAGGGGAAAGAAAAGAAAGTGTTATTCTCAGGCTCTCAGTATGTCAATAAATGAAGTATTAAATATGTAAAAAAAAAAAAAACATTTCCTATTGTATGTTTGATTGATTTATTGAATGTTATTTAATGTATGCATCTGTGTATATATGTGATATTTTAGCTTATCATTTACATATTTAGTGTATAATTGCGTTTTTCTGATACTTTCTTGTTTGGTGAATTGAATTAGTGTGTGGTTTTATGGTGTCAGTGTACATGTATGTGTATTATTTATATTGGATTTATGATGTTGTGTCTGAACTTAGATTAACCTAATAAAGCAAAAAAAAATAGTTTAAATATTTAATTAATTTTTATAATATTTTTTTTTATAAATATATTTAAAATATGTATTTTTTAAAATTTAATTTCCCGATATTTCCAATATTGTTGTTCATTAAATTTGATTAAAAAGTCAGCCTGGAGAAGGGGAAAGAAAAGAAAATGTTTTTCTCAAAACTTAAAAACTTAAATATGTGAATTTGCTTTTCTTATGGGGGTGACATGGTGGCGCAGTGGGTAGCACAATCGCCTGACAGCAAGAAAGTCGTTGGTTCAAGCCTCGGCTGGGTCAGTTGGCATTTCTGTGTTTGCATGATCGCCCCGTGTTCGTGTGGGTTTCCTCTGGGTGTTCTGGTTTACCCCACAGTCCAAAGACATGTGCTATAGGTGATCTGGGTAAGCTAAATTGTCCCAGTGATGGGTTGCAGGTGGAAGGGCATCCGTTGCGTAAAACATGTGCTGGATAAGTTGGCGGTTCATTCCGCTGTGCTGACCCCAGATAAATAAAGGGACTAAGCCGAAAAGAAAATTAATGGGTTACCATAAAATAACAGAATTGAGACCACTTATAAAAGTCCCATAAACTACATGTGCTTTATTCTAGTTTAAAGCCAATTATCTACATGTGAATGATGATCTGTGAAATCTAAACGTATCAGACAAACATTCTTCAACCCACTGATTATCAAAGCGACACTAAAAATCATCATGTCTCAAAATCCTGTGTGGGCGAATGTGAATGAGCTTCTGATGTGTACATGCATTTCTCCTCTTCACTACTGTACAGAGCTGACTAACTGCACAGAGACTGAACTGAGCAACTACAGTAGGATCCTGCCATGACTTCAGGCTGAATGACAATCTGTTCATCCCTCCATCACACCAAAAGCCCACTAGTCCTCCCTGAACGATCCCAGATGGAGATCTTCAGATCTAGAACACGTTCCCTCAAAACCATCCTCATCCTAATTCACCAATGTAAAAAAAAAAAAAAAAAAAAAAGTATATATATATATATATATATATTACATATTGACAAAATGTGTCTGATTCGTACATATTCAGATGTCATTTGTATTAAATAGCTTTTTTTTGTGTGTCTCGTATCTAAACATTACTGAGGAAATTGTATTAAATTGAATGATTGAGATGTACAAATTCATAAGAATTTACCACTAAATTAAAAAAGTTACAAACTTGTGTAAGATAATATCTTTCAGCTTAACGGGTGTCAAAATAAAATGACGCAATAATTGTAATATATTATATTATTATTCATTAATTTTCCTTCAGCTTAGTCCACTATTTATCAGGGGTTGCCACAGCGGAATGAACCGCCAACTATTCTGTCATATGTTTTATGCAGCGGATGCCCTTTCAGCCACAACCCAGTACTGGTAAACATCCATAAACTTTCATATTCACACACAAACTCATACACCATGGCCAATTTTGTTTACCAAATTCACCTATAACACGTCTTTAGACTGTGGGGGAAACCGGAGCACCCAGAAGAAACCCACACCAACAAGAGGAGAACATGCAAACTCCACACAGAAATGCCATATGGCCCAGCTGGGACTCAAAGTACTTGCTGTGAGGTAACAATGCTAACCACTGAGCCACCTCTTCGCTATGTTATATTATATTATATTATATTATATTATATTATATTATATTATTTTATATATTATATTATTTTATATATTATATTATAATATATTATAGGGTCATTTAAAGGAATAGTTACCCCAAATATGATCATTTACAGTTACAGTTTATGTTTTAGCTGGATCTACAGTATGGTGTTTATATTATATTATTATATTTCTTAATATCTGCATGTAATTACATTTAGTTTTGTAGTTTCATATATAATTGCACTAATGACTGGGAAACAACTCCTTAACCAACAATTAAACCTAATAACAACAATTGTTTAGGGATGTTTCACCCAAATCTGAAAATTTAGTCATCATTTACTTACATTTCAATGATCACAAACCTGTTTGTCTTTCTTCTGCTGAACACAAAATAAGACATACTGAAAAAAGCTGGAAACCCCTAAACAACCATTGACTTTTAATTGTTTTTCTTATAATGGAATTCAATAGTTACAGTTTTTAAGCTTTCTTTAAAATATATTATTTTGTGTTTAATAGTATAAAGTACGGTTTATAACCACTTGATGGTGAGTAAATGAGTAACTTTTTATTTTTGGGTGAACTATCCCTTTAACCGTATCCCACCTTAGCAAGCATTGCTACTTAAAGGATAGTTAACAATTAATTTGCACCCAATGATGTAGGTGAATTTTGTTGTTTAGAACATAAGAGAAAATTTTGAGCTCAATCCGCGGTCCTTTGTGATTTCTATAATGGCAGTCAATGGTCACCCTATTTTACATTAAAAATAAACACATACAAATAAGTCCACATGAATCCCCATGGTTCCTGATGATTCACTTATGAAGCTAAACTGTGCAAGAAGTTTAACACTATTTACAATATTGTTAGCTTTAATCTACATTTTTGGTAGAATGTCCCTATATTATGTAGTCATAATGGCAACGATAAAAGAAATCAGCTATTGGAAATTAGTTATTAAAACTATTATGTTGGTAATGTGTTGAAATAAATCTTCTATACCTTAAACAGAAATTGTGGAAATAAACTAATATGTCAGTACTAGGCCGTAGTTAAAGACACATTAGTGGACTGAGACAGCAGTGGTTATGATTATTAATGATCTGACGGAGGTTTATACACGCAGCGGGGGTCTGACGCCGGCGGTGCTGTCCATGGTACTGACGCCCAGACCATCTCCAGCAAACCACACAAATCACATCCCACATGATCTTCAACACACATTTCCATCAGTCGTCCTCTGTTTTATAAAAGCTTTCTCATATATGAATACCTCGATAAACCAGGTTTCCTGAAAGCCGGAGGAGAACCGACATTACTGAGGTCACGAGGCAGCAAAACGCAAGCGATAAACAGATCTGCACGTTATTTCTAGCATGATGACCTTTAAAAACAAGAACATATCTCTAGATTATTCATTTTTCCCTACTACCAGAGCTAGTACAGGCCTACGACCCTTTGACAATGTAATACAAAGATCGGTTACTCTGCGAACAGAGGCGTTTGGCACGAAGCAGATGGGTGAAATTAATATTACGCAAGATCATAACAAACCTATACCTAATCTCAGTCCCAACCTAAGCGAACAGAGTCGGTGTTAATGTGTGAAGAGGCGTCCGGCAGCACATCTTCTGTGATACAGATCTTCATTCATTTGGAGAGAGAGAGAGGGACAGACAGACGCTAACGTTACGTGCCGCGCGGAAGGCCTGTCGACTCTTATTTTCACAGCGATATCAATGCGCTGTCACATTCAACCAAACGCACATTCAATATTTCAACCTGTCAGAACCAACTGGAAGCGTTTCGTTTTAAAGCATTAACAACAAATGAATATATCTGGGTTACCTTGCGAGCTGACACCAGCCGATTTTGAACGCGGAGAGGCGGAGAAGATCTCACGAGAGTTTGCGCCGACTGTTCAGTCTTTGATGGGGACATCTCGCGAGATTTGGTTTTCGCATCTTGAGACTGCCTCCAGCCAGACCAGGTAGCCTAGTAGTAGTGAAATAAATGACAAGTCAAGGAAATGTTTATTGATGTCAAAACAGTTAACGATATATGATGAAACAACCTTAAACACTGCATCTACTGATTTTTTTAACATTATGCAGATTAGAAATAAAAAAATATTCATTCATTCATTTTCTTTTCGGCTTGGTCCTTTTATTGATCAAGGGTTGCCACAGCGGAATGAACCGCCAACTTATCCAGCATATATTTTACACCGCGGATACCCTTCTAGCTGCAACCCAGTACTGGGAAACAAATTAAAGAATATATGAAGTAAAAAGAAAGAAAAAGTCAGAGGGAAAATTATATAATGCATTGAAATAAATATTGAGGCAGGAGAGTACTTATTAACCTAAGATGCGGTGAATACACCATTTCTGCACATCTGAAAATAGACTAAATAAGTTATACAAGATAAAACTGCTTGTTTGGGGGTTAAAGAAGCAGAATTTTTCTTTTTGGCGACAATAACAGTGTGATTAGTTTTTTCGTTGACACCGAAAGATTGATTTGAGCCTGAAACAGTTGAGCAAAAAGGTTAATAATATTACAATATGAACATGAAGGTCTATGAAAGAATACAATCTAAGAAATACTGTATTTTTTAAACACAAACTTGGTTACATATGGACCAATCAAAACACTGGTTAAATTTGGTCCTATTAATTCACTAAAAATAAATAACCCATTACACCCGAAACTGGGTTGAAATAACCTGCCCTTTTTTGGAGTGTACAATATGAAAGTCACTTTATTATTATTTAGGTAGATGAATAATTAAATAACTTTATATTTTTGTTACTCGAAATTGCAATGTTTTAATATATGTATGCAACCTATATGTGTACTTAACTGATCAATGTTTCTTACGCAGGGGCACAACTACAGACTTACTGAGGGGTATGTGGGTTCAAGTTTTCTGTGAAACTGCTATTACACCTTTCACAAAGTGAATTCCACTGTGGCGACCCCGGATTAATAAAGGGACTAAGCTGAAAAGAAAATGAATGAATACACGTCGCGTTTGATGCAAACAGAGAATTGCTTGTAGTTGGAATCTTGTCACGTTGCTTGTTGTTAGGACAGGGTGTGAGTGCTCAAAAGAGCCCTTTTCTTGTAAAATAGGCCTTTAGATCTACATATATAGCCAAAAAGCAAGCCAAATTAGACATATGTTATATATATTTAATAGACAAGATCCATGAGTGCCGTTGAATTAAATAGTTGAAGTTAGAACTATTAGCCCACCTGTGACATTTATATTCCTTTTCAAATACTTCCCAAGTGACAGACAGAGGATGTTTTCACAGTATTTCCAATATTATTTTTTATTCTAGGAAAAATCTTATTTATTTTAGTCTGGCTGGAATAAAAGCAGTTTATTTATTTATTTTTTATTTTTTGGCAATTTTATGATAAATATTATTAGCATGGCATTATACAACACTGAAAAAATGGTTCAAAGATGATTGCTTGGATTTACGTAATTTTTGATTAAGTGGTTGTCAAGTTAAGTGGTTGTAAACATTTAATTTGGGCTGAATTTAAACGAGCAAATTAAGTTGTACAATACTCAATTTATTTGTTTGTTTTGTAAACAATAAAAAAAATTTAACACAAAAATTATTTGCAACATTTTTTTTTCCAGTGGACTTGATAATTAACCTAATTTTTCAACATAGTTAAGCCTATAAATTGCACAATACGCTGAATAGTGTCTTGCAAAATAACTATTAAAATATTATAGCAAAGACAAAATAACTTAGTTATTAGAAATAAGTTATTAAAACTATTATGTTTAAAAAATGTGTTAAAAAGTATCGCAGTTAAGCAACTGTTGGGAATAAACTGATAGATAAACTTTTAAAAGAATAAAATCATCACAGCTGGGCTAATAATTTTGATTTCAACTGTATATTTGGTTCGATAAGGATGCACATAACACAAATTACTTGTCAATCTCGCACACTAGTACATGTAGTTAGTACATTAGATTAAATGCTACAGCAGTTTGAAATACAGCACGACACCGCGCCCTCTATCGGGGAAGTTCTCTCACAGCTGCAGCCGTGGGTATGGAGAGACTTCTGGGATGCTGGCGGATTATGAGGCGGGGATTCCAGTGACCCAGGTATTAGTCCAGTGGTCGAGGGTCGCGTAACCCCTCCGTTATCTCTTGAGTTTAATAACACATCAGCTTTAACTGGCATCTCGCCTCGGCTGATTCTCCTGTCTGAGTATTTATTGCGTCCCTCAGCACAGCGGGCTGCAGAAGCGAGACTCCGGTGACGGAAGTGAGTTTAGCTTTTATCCTGTCTGTGGTTTCTCTTACAGCTGCTTTTTCTCTTAACGTGAGACACGATGGCAACTCGGACGGGGATCGTCTTGATTTTCCTCGCGGTTTTTGCATTTGTTGCCGCTGAGGACGGGGAGAGCAAAGAAAGCGTGATCGAACAGTTGGTTGTGGAGACGTTGGTGAGTTGTGGCAAGTTTTTTATGAATGACTGTTACTACAACAGTCCACGTAGCGGCTCACTGCATACGTGCTTTTGACGCAAAAACATCTCATCACAATATTGCATCGGTTTGCTGTTCTTTGCATTTCAATTTGCAGTCAGGTTGTGCATTCTGTAATATTTCTCACTGATATGTGTGTTTTAGGTGATGCCGGAGTCGTGCACGATTACATCCGAGATGGGAGACACGCTGCAAATCCACTACACGGTAAGAAATACAGCGCATTGCGCCATTAAAGCCCATTATGTTGTAAAACAAGGAACCCTCCAATGAAATCTCTTGTTGTTCTAACATAAAGCATGTCAAAATGGACTCTGGGTTATTTGCACATGAAGCCGTCCAGTGATGTGGCAGAGTCAAGCTGACATCTGGACTCGCCATATCTGACATAACATACAGTTGTGGTGCAGCATGTAACATGGAAAACGCCAACACGCTTAACATGTTCCTCTCAAATCCAAACAGAGCAGAAGTTCGTAATGAAAACGCGTTCTTGTTTCGTAATTTGACATAGTATTTCAGTTTAAGCGAAACCAAATGTTGTGGAGGAGGAGGAGCAACACGTCAGCATTTGAGTCAGCGGAGCCGCGACTGTTCGGACTCGAGGAAACGCGCGTCAGAGGAGTGTGCGCGCTCCTGTTGCTGTACGTGCGCGACTATAATAGGGGAGAGCGAGTTTCTTTAGTTAAACTGTCAATAAGTAGATTAGTAAAAACACAATTCTTTATAAAATACATTTTTACACACAGTTGGTGCCCATAGATTATGAATACATTTTAAACATTTTAGAAACATGTAACCATTGACACTCCCAAAATTATGTTTGCTGTTTGTTCAAACTATTTAAATTGAGCTGAAACAGCCTATTTGGTTTATGTTAAATCCACCTAAAATTGTAAAAAAAAAACTAACAAGTTAACTCCTTCATGTTGTCCTAACACAAAATCTATAAGCATTTTTACAGTGAATATAGGAAAAACAAATACAATAGAAGTCAGTTTACTGGTCTCCAACATTTTTTAAAATAACTTCTTTGAGTTCATTATAAAAAGAAACTCAAACCTGTCTGACGGACGTTTCAGTTTTGTGTGAACTACCCCTTTAAAATAAAAACAATTAAACATTAATTAAATTTTAAAAAAAGAATAAAATATTACCATTTTACAATATGGTATAATTAGTTAATGTCAGGTAAAGAAAATAAAGTTGTTCAATTTTAGTTCTTGTTAACTCACAGTGCGTTAATGTTCAGTACAACTTTGGATTTTAATAATTCTTTCATTCAATTTCTTTTCGGCTTAGTCCCTTTATTAATCTGGGGTCGCCACAGCGGAATGAACCGCCAACTTATCCAGCATATGTTTTATGCAGAAAATGCCTTTCCAGCTGCAACCCATCACTGGGAAACACCCACACACTACCAATCACACACATACACTACTGACATTTTAGTTCACCCAATTCACCTATAGCGCATGTCTTTGGACTTGTGGGGGAAACCGGAGCACCCTGAGGGAAACCCACATGAACACAGGATTTTAATAATGCATTAGTAAATATTAAATTGTAATTAATAAATTCTGTACAAGTTTACATTAAGAAGCATCAATTAATGGAACAATGTCAAAATGTATGTAGCATATCATTTAGTTTAATGACGCACAAAAATAGGGCGACACGGTGGCGCAGTGGTTAGCACTGTCGACTCACAGCAAGAAGGTTGCTGATTCGAGTCATGGCTGGGTCAGTTGACATTTTTGTGTGGAGTTTGCATGTTCTCCCCATGTTGGCGTGGATTTCCTCTGGGTACTTTGGTTTCCCCCACAAGTCCAAAGATATGCGCTATAGGTGAGTTGGCTGAACTAAAATGGCCGTATTGTGTGTGTGTGCGTAAATGAGAGAGTGTATGGGTGTTTCCCAGTACTGGGTTGCAGCTAGAAGGGCATCACCTGAGTAAAACATATGCTGGAATAGTTGGTGGTTCATTCCGCTGTGGTGACCTCTGATAAATCAGAGACTTAGCTGAAGGAGAATGAATTAAGTAAAAAAAATAGGTTGTCTATAAAATGTTACTAAACTTAATAAAATAAAATAAAATAACAATATATAAAATATATAAACATCACAGCTGTTTCATTTGTAAAAATCAAGGAAACATGACCATTGAGGAATGTGCAGAATATTATATTACTGTGTAGTCAATTCTATTCTTGTGAGCTTTATATGCTGTTTCTACAAGTTTTTTTGGGGAGCATAGTAAAATAAACCCTATTCTGACATAAACTTTAGTGTGTGCTTGTGTGTGTGTGTGTGTGTGTGTGTGTGTGTGTGTGTGTGTGTGTGTGTGTGTGTGTAGAAAACATTTTACACACTCAAATATATCAAACATTTTTTTGCCCTAAATTGCAATTAATAAAATGCATAAAACTATTACAGAAAACTCTAGCAATAACAAAGCGACATCATTCATTTCCCCGTTTTAATATCTGCCTTATTCACTGTAAAACCTCATTTTGTGATAATTTATTAGTTTTATGTGATCAATTTTTAACCTATAGTTCATCCTTGTTGTAATGTATGCTGATTACGACACCATGATTACACTAGTCTGTCCAAACCTCTTACACGTCAATCCACACTTTTTATTAGATGGCTTATTTTACTTATGTCTGCAGGTATTTACAAAGCTTGTTGCATCCACACATAATGAATGCATATTACCTGTAAAATCAATTTGCTGTTTTGTGCAGGGTCGATTAATGGACGGGAAGGTGATAGACACGTCTCTGTCTCGCGAGCCTTTGGTTGTAGAATTGGGCAAGAGGTCTGTCATCACAGGTATGAGGCTGTGGAACCTAAAAACAACATAACAGAAACACAACAGAGCACACGTTCCTGAACTTATCGTATTTAGGATATATACAACTATGCACAGTAGTCACCTACAATTCTCAAGCTTTTTCTACCTGTTTTAACTATACCTGTCAACATTGGGACGTAAAAAACCCTTAACCCCGTAAAAAAAAGGAAACTCTATAAACCTTAAATGACCCCTTACTCTGTAATCTGTTAATTCAGAGCAGTTGAATTGTATATAAGCCTATTTAAAACCGAAATATGAGGAGGAAATTAGCTTCACTTTATAGAATACATAACAAATAATAGCAAATTGAAAATAAAAGACAAGGTTTAGCCTGTTAAAACCAATGACCTATATTTTGTGCCGGAAGCTAGCTCTTTGCAGCTCTCTGAAGCTAACCAGGGCTGCGCCTGGTCAGTACCTGGATTAAAGACCACATGGGAAAGCTAGGTTGCTGCTGGAAGTGGTGTTAGTAAGGCCAGCAGGGGGCGCTGAACCTGCGCCAGTACAGTGACGGGGACTCTAGAATGCTCAGTGAGCGCCGTCTTTCAGATGAGACGTTAAACCGAGGTCCCGACTCTCCGGGGTCTTTAAAAATCCCAGGATGTCCTTTGAAAAAGAGTAGGGTTTTAAACCCTGCATCCTGGCCAAATCTGCCCACTGGCCTCTGTCTATCATGGCTTCCTAACCCTCCCCATATAATAATAGGCTTTATCACTCTGTCTCCTCTCCACCAATCAGCTGGTGTGTGGTGTGCGGTCTGGTGCAAAATGGCTGCCGTCTGGTCATCCAGGTGGATGCTGCACACTGGTGGTGAATGAGGAGATTCCCAAACCCAAAAATGTAAGGAATTATTATTATTATTATTAGTAAGAGAAACAAATCTCTCATTTTGATTAACTGTTTTGTCTAATAACAGAGGAGTCACTTTAAGAATGCACAGATCTATAATGATAGCATTTGATTACTTTCGGAACTGTTTATGCTCATTTAAGACCAAATTATTTGTGTTTGAAATAAAACACGCCAGGTCGGACATGTTTACATATTATTAAGTGTATTTGTACGTTTAAAAAACACAGGCAAATCCAAAAGTGTCCACATTTGCTCATCTTCAAACCGCGTCAACAGGATGCTCAGAGGTTGCATAGGAAGGCGACAGTTGATGCATAGCTTTAATTATTTAATTATTTAATTATTTAATTATTATGCAAAAGCATAATTCTCTTGAACAGCTTATGCAATTATATCACATTTGAGATCACTTCTTTAATGCTACTTTCACTTTTTATAGAAATGTTAAAAATACAGGAGAAATATGGGACAACACTTAAATGTGATGATGGCAGGATAGAATGGTAAAATGTGAGAAAATCCCAGCAAAAATTGTGTTGACGGGTATGGTTTTAACACATAAAATCAATTTTGTTTATACAAATTAAAAAAGGTCCTATTTTTACTCATTTCTAAAGGGTTGATTTTTTTTTCGGGTGTACTAGAACATTTTCATGCTTAGTGGTTTTAAAAGCACATTATTGTTTACATAATTTACACTGTTACAATGCCTTTCTCCCCAGCCTGGCACAAACAGCTCTGCTTGTCCTGGGTATGATGAAGGCCCGCCTTTAGAAAAAACAAAATGTGTTGTGATTGGTTAGCTGTCCTATTGCATTGTGATTGGTGAGCATCTTAGACGGAAGCAGCCTGCAAAACCTCACTTGAAGGTGGCGTATCAACAGCTCCAGCTGGTGCGATACTAGACAACCGCTCCGATCTGTGGGCATCTATGCTCTAGTGTAAAAGTTAAGTTATACACTCTTGCTCCAGTGGAGCTCATTCTCCGGAAGCTACCGGGATAGGTGGGATGTTTTGGGTATCAGGCATTTGACGCAACATTTGTTCAAGCAAAACAAAACATTTATGGATGTTTTTATTGTACAGTAATCTATTATTTGTCGAAAGTTTGGGATTTTTATGTTCAGTAGATATTTTAACTGGAATAAAACATACAGATGTTATCTTTTTTAACTATAATTTTATTCACAGCAGTAACTATAATGCAGCTTGGAATCTAAGATGGTTGTAATGACTAATCACAGCTTTTTGAGTTGTGTTTTCTTTTCTAAAACCACGTATACTAATTACGTGCTGTTTCCACAGTTGCACAAATCTTTAAATCTTTTATTTTTTTCTTGGCAGGCCTGGAGCAAGCCCTGGTTGGAGTGTGTGAAGGGTAAGTAGAAGTCAACGGCTGTTTTTTAGCTGAGGAATGTACAATGTTGGCAAACGACGAAAGTACAGCAAGTAAATAATATGTTGAGGACCACTCCAAGAAAAGGTCTTTTTAGGGTGAAGTCTGAATCACCCACCTGAAGGCCTTTTTCAGTCTTTTCTGTCTCTGATTTTCCAGACAAAAAATCAAGGCCATGATTCCGGCTCATCTAGCGTATGGGAAAAGAGGATACCCTCCAACCATTCCAGGTACCATATCAACAAGCTTCAGTAAAACAGCTTTAAACTGAATATAGTGTGTCACTATATAGTGTGTGTTTTGCATATATCGAAAAAAGACTGTAAGCTAATTTGTCATCATTATAAGTGAAGATTTGATACAATAAATATAAATGAAAGGTGAAGAGTGGTTTAAATTTAAGTATTGCAGGCCAATTTTAAAATACAAGAGAGGATTTCTTTTTCACCTGGCCCAACCCCGTCCTCCCACTTTGCTTTGGTTTCCCCCACAGTCCAAAGACATGTGCCATAGGTGAACTGAATAAGTTAAATTGGTCATAGTGTATGTGTGTGAATGAGAGAGTGTATACTGTTTCCAAGTTGGCGGTTCATTCCCCTGTGATGAATGAATGAATGAATGAATATTTGTATTGTTTGTGCTTTATATGGTATTTTATAACTGAATCTACATTTCATTTCGGAGGCAGCTACTGTCCACACGTTTTTGGCCACGCCCACATACAACCATCTACACATGTTGGCCACGCCCACATACATTGAGGAAGCCCTCAAAACAAATGAAATTAGCTGCTTTCTGCCAACTGAAATATAATTGGATGTACTGGCAGTGGGCGGAGTTACACCAGAGCCCCTTTAAAGGCTGATTTATACTTCTGCGTCAAACACCGGTGTATGCTACGGCGCTGACGCATAGCCCTTTGCCGTGGCCGTGGCCGTCACTGACGTGCACCTCTCAAAAAATGTAACTACACGTCGCAACGACGCGTAGCGTAAGCTCTGTGATTGGTCGGCTTGGTAGCGCTGACGAGTCTGGGCGGGACCGAGAGCCGCACGAATGGCGCGAGCGATTGTTTACAAGTGTGGAGTCCCGTGAAGGAGCTCCGGATGGAAAGTTTTGTTTTGTGTTTACCTCATAGTTAAAGTTGTTGCACGTCCGCCGGTTTCTGCCTCATAATGAGTGAGTTTGAGCCACTTGTACATCCCGGAAGTGTTCAGGAAAAGCAAAAAAGCCGCGAAGAAACTCGACACAGAGGAACATTTACACCTCACTGCCCACTAGCGTTTCAGAAGTGTTAATGCAGACCAACGGAGACAGCGCACAGAAGTATAAATACACAGCCACGCGCGTGGCCTGCGCCGTGGGTTACGCCGGTCAATTGACGCAGAAGTATAAATCAGGCTTACGGCAAGTCATTTCACTCGGTGGCCATTTTTAAAACTGTTTGAATGGGGAAGCCAAAAGTTTTTATCGAGCTTATGATTAAATTTCATATTATTATTATTCTCCAATAAAAGTAAACAACAACAGTTGTTTTCGTTTAATTTCTAAATGATCGAATCACACACGTCAGGGCTGAGCCCCTCCCCTGAGAATTGTCAGTTTATATTGATCGATGATTGGCTCGACTACTAGAAGGTGGGGCTTCATTCCTTAAAAAAAACGTACACCTTAACTTACACAAAACAGCATCTTTAAATTAGATAGTTCTCTAATTAAGTTGTTACTATAGACATTTTTCTTAGCTGCTGCATGGAGAGCGCCATAGAGACCAGTGTCTTCCGGTAGAATGTTTAGAACTTCTGTTTACAACAGGTAATTTGCAATCCGAAAATGGGTTTCAATATCGTTTTGAGTGAATTACGGTGTGTTTTTGTGACACAACTTTGAAAGGTGTGTGTTAAAGCCGTTATAATCTGTCAGATGTGAATCAAGCGCAAGAGAAAAACGCTCTACTAGTTCACGTGTCTTTCGTCAGAAATACTGTGTGTGTGTGTGTGTGTGTGTGTTCTCGACCTGTCAGTTGTTAGCTCTGCGGCTCATCAGTGCACGCACAGACATACACACATACTTCACAGCATTATAGAGCAATCCAGTTTACTGGAATGAAACTTAACAGGTATGCAAGTCATGCAATTTACAAAATGACCAATAAAAGTGCGTTATTGATACTCTGCTGGCTGATTTGCATGTTGATTTTAATCGGGAGCAGTTTATGTTTCATTTAGTTTGTTTGTGTTGTGTAATATTTTTCAGGGTTTGTGTTTTTCTGTCATTTTAAAACGACACTTTATTTTCACTTTGTGCCACTTATTCAATCAATGTGTTAGTGGGATAGTACAGGCTATGTGTGTGAGTGTGTGTGTCAAACTTTTTGGTGCATTACATTTGTTTGAGTTTGTTATATATTTGAACGAAAAAGAAAATGTTGACTTTAGTGATGACGAGGCACAAGATGCCGTCTGAAGACGAGGGGTAAATGCCTCACAGCAGTTGATTTCCATCCTATTAGATCGCATTTTTAAAAATGATCAGTCCAGGAGGTGGCGCTGATTGACAACCATATTAGTTCAAAGACGTTAAAAGCGAATATAATAGATTCAAACTATCATTTCAAAGCTGTCCGAATGTGACTGTTTTTACGCATCAGCTGCCGACTGGAAGTTCTTAGCATTCTCCTTGCGCATACACACAAAGCATAATGGGAAATTTTGCATACTAGGAAAAAGGTCTATTGCATGATAAAATAGCACGGCTCTTAAAATAAATTAGACACCTCTCTGTATGTAATTAATACTAATGAGAATTGAATTGCAGAGATCTTTAATTTAATTCATACTAAATACATTTATGTTGAGTTATGCTGGGAACATTTTAGGCAGAAGTAGCTTGCCATACTATAGGTACATTTTAAACTGAATGGCTTAAATGTTGGGTAGTGACTTTAAAAAAGTTATTAATTACTAATTACATCATTAAGATTGTATTTGTTATATTTTAATTACTGTTTGAAAAGTAATGCATTAATTCTAAGTTTTTTATTTACCCGACTAAACTCTAAAAATTCAACCCATAAATGCACTACAAATAAATCTCAACGCCGTATAGACAATAGAAATTAAACTAAACGACAACTTAAATCGGAGCCAAACAGGACATTGCAGCTTAATTAAAAAATGTAACACTAAGAATTATAAATAATATATAAATCAAAACACACACGTTTCAAAGCAATGACACTATATTTCATACATACCATATATTGACATCCATTTCTGACTCATGTCATTGTTTCTCAAGCATGTTATTCATAAATGAATTATTCTCTTAATTGATTTATCCAGAACTGTTGAATTTATGTACAGCATTTAAACAAGTATATGATAAGTAGCTGTAATTAAATTAGCTGAAAATGTAAAGTAATCCCTTACCTTACTTTTTTCCTGTGGAAAAGTAATCTAATTACAGTAATTAGTTACTTGTAACTCTGAATAACTTTCCATAGGACATTGAACAGTAAACATGTTGTCTTCCTAACAACAAACAGAGCAGCTTCAGTATCAATTACTGTCAATATTTAATTATTACCGACAATAATAAAACATTTCAATGTGCTACTTACTGCTTCTGTGTAATTGTTTGTAAAATTGAGCAGTCTCTGTGAAAATTTCGTCTCCACCGACCTTTTTTTCTTTCTTTCCAGGTTAGAGTGGTGATTCTTTCAATGCACTTCTGAGTTTCTTTTGTCTGTCTCTCCTCACAGGTGACAGTACGCTGGAGTTCGAGGTGGAGGTGATCTCTCTGTCCCAGCAGACGCCATGGCAGAAGCTCATCAATGACATCTTGCCTCTTCTGTGCCTGGCGCTGGTTCCCACTTTACTGGGTTTAGTGGGACTCTACCTCTACAACAAAGCACACGCACAACCTCAAGGCAAGAAGAAGAGCAAAGACAAGAAGAGCAAGAAGAAATGAGATCAAAGCCAAACAGAATAAACTATTTAAATAAAAATATTTTTGGTGCTTTCAATTTTTTTTTGTGACATTTGTGAGATATTACGACATGTAAAAACTGGTATGTATTGAATTATTACACTAAAAGTTTTTTTTTTGGACAAAAAATAGGTGGAGGGCAGGGATAATTGTGTTTTTTGTCAATAATTCAGATGATTTTTTTGCTTCATCTGAAAACATTCTACCTCTCACCTGTTTCAGTTCAATATATACCATCCTTTAAAAGTTTGAGGTCTTTCCTGCGCCTCAAGACTGCATTTATTTGATTAAAAAGAGTAGAAATGGAGTCTTTTATTCCTGTGGGGCACGTTTTATGCACGACTCACGTGATGTCCAATTATTCTTCTGATATGTATATCGTAATTGGTGACTTAAGAGATTTAATATTATTATTATTATTAATATTAAATACAGTGCTGGTTAGGTGGTTCATTCCACCGTTGTGACCTGATAAATAAGGGACTAAGTCAAAGGAAAATGAATGAACAGTGCTGGTTAAATATTTGTGTGGAAACCCTAATGCATCTTTTGTATAATTTAGGTAATATTATTTGCTTAGAATGTATAAAAAAAATAAATACAATTATTTTTAACAAAATAAGTTTTTCTGATTAGGCCAATTTAATGCATATTTGCCGAATTAAACATTTCACATTTCTCTCAATTGAACAAGCCTACATTATTTTCAGCAAATGAACGCAGATATAAATGTTTACCTTGAAAGCAACACACTTCGTTTTAGATAGAAAGATTACAATGACTAAGATGATCGTCAGTAATTTAGGTGAAAGGGCTTCAGTCATGAAAGCTCAACACTCACTGACACACAGGCTCTCCCAGCGTAATTCATCAGCTGAAGAAAGCGATCAGAGGTCAATGGTTAGAGAAGTTCTTCAAGAATCAGCAAATCTTTATCATACCATCTTTAGTCGTTTGGAAAGACCTTACTGTGCACTTGGGCTATCGTTTATTGTTTTCCCAGCATGCACTGCTGCATCAAAAACATTCAGCTAGTGTTGCGATTTATGTTTTATTAAGGAACTGTTTTTCAAGACATTATTTTGCTCCCCTTCATAAAACATTTTTTTAATCTGTAGGAATATTGCTAACATTTTTAAACGTCATAATTTATGATAGAAGCATAAAACATGTTAAAACAACTAAAATTTGTGCTAAAAATGCTAGCAACGATTAAAAACGTAAGCAAACGTTTCAAACCGTCAAAAAAGCGGGAGTGCGGACGGACATCGGATTTTTGCCGAGTCGTTAATCTTTAATGATTTGGCGCCTTCTTGAGGTCAATAAACTTAAATGTGGGTAAAATTTGTAAAAATCTTACATTTACAATAAAATATATAGTTAAGTTCACTTAAAAATAGCATTTCTGCATTACTCACCCTTGACCTGTTCCAAACCAATTTGAGTTTTGTTTTTGTTCATACTGAAGAGTGTTGGAAACCTACTGTATAACCACTGGCATCCATATTAAGAAAAACAAATACCAGTCAATGGTTACAGGTTTACAACATTCTTCAAAATATCTTCTTTTGTGTTCAACAATACAAAAACAAACACATTTGGAACAAGTAAAGGTGAGTAATTGATGGCAGAATTTTCATTTTTAGGTGAACTATCACTTTAACAAATTAGCAAACCTGAATTCTATAACATTTTAACTGCTGCTAGAAGCACAATTCTGCATTGTTTTTCTACATTTATTCTCTAAAGCTGTTTCTGCACAATACAGGCTGCTTCTTGCACAACGTGTCTTTTCTGCTGATGTCTGTCAGTGGCAGCAGTATCCTGAAGAGCAGGACTCGACACCACCAGAAGCTTCTGCTGCCGAAAACTCTCATCAGAAACCGAGACTTCATCCAGGTACTGCTTCAGAAAGAGCCTCAGACGCTCATTCTCCTGGAGCAGAAGCAGCTTCTCTCGCTTCACACACAAACAGTCCAGCTCAACTTTGTTGTAGCGTTGCCAGAACTTCGCAAGAGGCGAATAGTCATGCATTAGCTGTGGATAAGAACAGAATAACATAAAATACTTAATACTCAACAAATTGAAGACCTCTCGTTTTATTCCCATAGCATGATGTACTGTGTTTCTGAGTGAAACATTAAGGTATTGTAACTCCTTGTCAGACAAGATGAATGAATGCAGGTTTACAGTGGGTTTTGGGATTGCTGAGTGTGATTTAATGCTCATTACCTGTGTGAGTTTCTCATTTGAAGACTCCATGGCTTTGGCTTTCTCCTGTTTTTGCTCTTCTTCGCTCAGTGATGACTTGTAGAAGGGCAAAACCTTCTCGTGCTCCGTCTCCAGTTTACAGCACATCTCGCACTGACGCAGCAGCCTTTCCCCCTATTTAAGAATATTGCTAAAATGACTGATTCAAAATATTAATAATAATAACTCTCTATTTTCCCAGTACATTTCCACAATGCAGTCCTGCTTTAAAAACATCTTTTATTAATGATGCATAAGAAGTCGCAGTCTGGTTTAATAAATTTGGAAATATAATTAGCTTTATTAATAATTATTTAATAAGTGTGCGTTATGACGTGTTGTTGAAATGCACTCATATTATGAATGTTATTACTAAACTAAATTATTCCTACAATCTCTTTTATTTTGCTTTCACTTTAAGATTTATTACATTATATTATATTAATTTTTATTCATGCTATGCAAAGCTGAATTTGCAAGATTAATACTTTAGTCTTCATTGTCACCTGATACTCTAGATATTGTTCAAATACAATCATTTGCTGCTCTAGTTTGTCCATTTATCATTTATTTTTTATATTATTATTATAATTAATAGATTGTATCCTTGATGAATGCAAATATTTTTTAATAAAAAAGTATGTTTTGACAAAGGTCATGTATCATGGTATATTTATATTCTTTAAACATTTCCCACTTATTATTTTATTATTACTCATTATTATATATAGACATTATTACATAAATCACATTCTGGTTTATATTCCCTTTTAATAAATATCATGGATATACAGCCTAGTCATGTGTATTATAAAAATACCAATGATTATTACTGAGTTCTCTTCATATAGTTTGTTTTATATTAATTCATTCGCTTGTTCGTTCACTAATTAATTAGTTTATTAATTTGTTTATTTATTAATTTGTTCATTCATTAATTTGTTCATTCATTCATTAGTTGATCAATTCATTCATTCGTTTGTTCGTTCATTTATTTGTTCATTCATTTGTTCGTTCGTTCATTCATTGGTTCATCCATTTGTTCATTCATTCATTGGTTCATCCATTTGTTCATTCATTCGGTCATTGGTTCATTCATTCGTTTGTTCATTCATTCATTCATTTGTTCTTTTATTCATTTGTTCATTCATTCATTGGTTCTTTCATTCATTTTTTCAATCATTTGTTCATTCATTCATGCATTCATTCGTTCATTCATCCGTTCATTCATTTATTTGTTTAATTATTCATTAATTTGTTCGTTCATTCATTTATTTGTTCATTGGTTCATTCATTCATTCATTCATTCATTCATTCGTTCGTTCATTCATTCATTCATCCGTTCGTTCATTAATTTATTTGTTTATTCATTTATTCATTAATTTGTTCGTTCATTCATTTATTTGTTCATTGGTTCATTCATTGGTTCATTTATTTATTCTTTCATTCATTTGTTCTTTCATTCATTTATGCACTCATTCATGCTTTCATTCATTCAATGCACTATTTATTTCAAATGTAAAGATTTAATGTTTAACATCTATCAGATCCATTTACTTTCTATCATTTCCAAATGAACTGCTTCCTTTGCCACTTTATAGGACAGTTCAATGCCAATCAGCTCCATATGAATATTGCTGTAGATCATTTGCTTGTGTGTGTGTGTGTGTGTGTGTGTGTGTTTGTGTGTGTGTGTGTGTGTGTGTGTGTGCATACCCTTGCTACGATCTCCTGCAGTTTTTTGGTAGCGTCGTTGCTTTGAACAGTCAGTTTAGTAATGTGTTTTTTCCGGATGGCCTGCGCCGCATTGAGCTGGACTCTGAAGTGTTGAACTTCCTGTGCGAGTTCATCACGTTCAGAACGAAGCTGCTCCGCTGTTTTATCAGTCTGACCAGAGCTCAGCTGACCACGGAAAGTAGAGATGGAATCCTGTAAAAAAAAATAAAGATAATAATTTCACAATGTACAGTTGAAGTCAGAATTATCAGCCCTCCTGAATTATTAACCCCGGAAAAAAGCAGGTTTTGTCAGACCTGCAGCTTCTGAATGTGTTTTTTAAGCGAGTCGATTTCTTTGGCACTTTGCACATCCTTGTTCATCAGATCATCGGTCGTGATGATTTTGTCTCTGGTGGACTCGTTGTAGTGGTTTAAAACCTGCTGCTGGTCCTGCCACAGTTTCTCCACAACTCCATCCATCTGCTCTTTCACCGCTTGCTTATCATCAAAGTTCTGCAGAAACAAAACCCAAACCATTTCACTACAATAAACCAACACTATGTGGCTTATTAATGTGGCTTTTACATTTAGCAGATTCTTTAATACAATTTGAAAATAATCATTTTAATAAGTACTATCTTTAAAAGGGGACCTATTATGCCTTTTTAAAACTTTAAAATGAGTTTCTGACGCCCCTAAAGTGTGCATGTAAAGTTTCAGCTCGAAATACCACACAAATAATGTTTTATACTCCTTGAAACTGCCCCTTTTAGGCTTTGCTCAAAAGTTGTGTGGTTTTGATTACCGTCGCTTTAAATTCAAATGAGATTTTGCTCCCAGCGCTCTTTTTAAAAGAGGGTGGAGCTAAACACGCCTATATGTCACTATAGCGGCAGATTCAAAACTCTTAAGGTGGACGACTGCTTCTTACTAAGGGCTGGTAATTCTAGTGAGGAAGATATTGTCACTAATGGATGGGGTCTTTCCCTTTCGATGTGTACCCGTACCCGTTTTTTTATTTGATTGCGAGTGCTCTGATAATCACGTTTCGCCTCTCCATCGAGATCACTGTAGTGCTTTTCCATGGAAAACATCACATTGTCCAAATCCACACATTCCTGCTGGTGCTGGGAGAGAATCTGCTCCCTGAAACATAACAGAATCAAAGTATTTTATGCTAAATTGGCTCATTTCCTTCAGAATAACAGGTGGTTTGTTTGTTGTGATTAAAATGAAAAGTCTACCATCATTTACTCCTTCATTTACTCCAAACTTGAGTTTCTTTCTTTCGTTGAGCACAAAGGAAGATATTCTGAAGAATGCTGGGAAAAAACAGCCATTGATTTCAATAGTATTTTTTGTTTCTACTATGGATGTCATTGGCTCTTTTTTCCAAAATTCTTCAGTAGTTTATGGTTTTGTGTTCAACAAAAGAAAGCAAATCATAACAGTTCAGCACCACTTGACTGAGAGTAATTGGTGACACACACAAAAATTATTATTTTTGCTGCTTTTTTTTTAAACACAAAATTCCTAACAATTTTTTATAGGGACAACGTAATTGTTTCACGTTTAATTTACTTTAATATGTAAACTTAACTTGCAAATAAGTGAACTTAATTTTTGTTCACACAACATGAAGAAATTGATGGAACCCAGCTTTTTCATTCATTAATTTTCCTTCGTTTTAGTCCTTTATTTAACAGGGGTCGCCACAGCAGAATGAACCGCCAACTACTCCAGCATATGTTTTATGCAGCGGATGCCCTTCCAGCCGCAACCCAGTACTGCGAAACACCCATACACTCTCCCATTCACACACACACTCACACACTACGGCCAATTTTTGCTTACCCAACTCACCTATAGCGCATGTCTTTGGTTCCCCCAGGTGCTCTGGTTTCCTCCACAGTCCAAAGACATGCGTAATAAGTGAACTGGATAACCTAAACTGGCCTGTAGTGTATGAGAGTGAGTGTGAATGTGACAATGTATGGGTATTTCAAAGTACTGGCTCACGGCTGAAAGGGCATCCGCTGCGTAAAACATATGACGGAATAGTGGGCGGTTCATCACCCTGTGGCAATCCATGATAAATAAGGGACTAAGGCGAATGAATGAATGCATTTGTAAGTATTTTGGGAATATGAGACAGTTCATGTGTGTATACCTCTCAGTATTATACTCTGAGCTAAGTTCCACTAGACTGCTCTTGAAGTTGAACTCTAGTTGTGCCAGTCGACTCTTATGAATCTCTAACAGACAGTCCACGTTGTGCAGATGTGAACTGCGCTTCAGCTCCGACTGAAGCTCCCTCTCTGACAAATCAACCTGCAAACTCTGGAAAACACACACACACACAAACACACGCACCCACACACACACGCACACACACAACCACACGTTTAATGTTTTTAGACATACTTTTATATTATATATGTCTAAAAATCATATATTATATTATATTATATTATATTATATTATATGATATTATATATCAGACTTGTATAGTTTATATCATAGGTGTCAAAGCCAGTTCCTGGAGGGCCGCAGCTCTGCACAGTTAAGTTCCAACTCTGCTTCAACACTTTTCTGTAGGTTGCAAACAAGCCTGAAGGACTTAGTTCGGTGTTAGTTCAGCTGTGGCCCTCAAGGATCTGGCTTTGACGCCTGTGGTTTATATTAAATGCATTTCGTTTGCAAATAAAGTGGTCACCCTAATGATGTTGTCTTTGTAGTCCAGGACTCTCTCGAAGGTCTGCGAGAGGACTGACATGTCATTGCGCAGCTCTGCTATCTTTGTCTGCGTCAAAACAGCTCGCCATTGCTGACGCAGCTTGTGGAGGTTCAGTACAGTGTTCTTCTCTTCTTTCTGCAGTTTATCCTATAAAAACAAGAGTGGAAATCCCTTAAGCCTTATAAGCCTTAAACAGCTTGTGTTAATTAGTGCTAAGTACATATTTAAAAAACTAAACATTTCTGATGTTTATGCAGTACAACAAAAATGTGGGACGTAATCGGGTTTTCAAGCATCAAAACTATAAAACATTTAAACTGATTTCAAAACCCAACTGTTGGTTTAAAAGTGTCATTTACATTTCATTGAAAACTACACAACATTGGGTTTGTCTAGATTTGACTCAATGTTGGTTTACAAAAACCCATGCTCCTCAAACACACTGATTATCACACACCTTGAGGAAGTGTGTGAGCATGTCCTCTTTTCTCTTGGCGATTTCCTCCTCCGCTTGAGCCTTTTGCTGCATGTACAGGAGTCTCTCCTCCTCCGTCAACCCGGCCAGTTTTCCACCGGCCTTCTTCCCTGCTTTTTTAGGCATGTTTGCAGAATTTCGGAGATTTCAGAATTCCTGAGAAGAGAAAATTCATTGTGTAACTACACAAAATCAGAACCATATACCGAGCCATCAACAGGATTATTATGATTACGTTATCATCCAGAGAAGATGTTTGATTCCAGAGCCTGGGATATTGAAGCCAATTTCCAATATTCATTCATTCATTTTCCTTGGGGTTAGTCCTTTTATTGATCAGGGGTCACCACAGCGGAATGAAGCGCCAAGTTATTTAGCGTATGTTTTACACAGCGAATGCCCTTTCAGCTGCAACCCAGTGCTGGGAAACACCCATACTCACTCAATCTCACACACATACACAATGGCCAATTTAGTTTATTCAGTTCACCGACAGCACTTGTCTTTGGACTGTGGGGTAAACCGGAGCAAAAGAAGAAACTCACAAGAACACAGGGTGAACATGCAAACTCCACATAGAAATGTTAGCTGGCCCAACCAGGACTCGAACCAGCAACCTTCCTGCTGTAAGGGGAGCCACCGTTTCACCCACAAAATTTCAATATGAAATACAAAAAAAGCTATTCTATTTTCCCTCACAAACCTGAGAAATAAATTAAAATTGAGACATATCCTGTCAAAATATCAAGATAGTTACAAACTAACAGTTCTGAGAAAAAAAAGTTACAATTAAAATTTATAAAGGATTAACGTTACAAGAAAATAAAAATTAAAACTTTACACACATCATGCTTCAGAAATAAATGAGCTTTACCAGCTCAAACAACTATAACGTTGTTATATAATGTTACACTCAGTCTAAAATACTAAGTTAGTTAACGTAACGTTAGTTATTAAAGCTTACGTTAACGTTTTTTACTGTCAAACACTGTTTTAATGCAGATTTTCGCAAAACATTTCCGTTTATTAAGCTGCAGAAATAAAAACAAGATGCAAAAACAAGTCGAATTGTAATCTTTTTGTACACTAACGTACTGGTTGGTTAGATTAAAACAGTTTAAGGGCTGCTATTATTATTCAGCATCGCCTTACCGCTGATGTCCACTGCTCTGGCTTGTTTCTGTTGACTGTTTCCTAGCAACCACTACAGGCTGCACAAACCACTTGTTTCCGGTGGGAAACACAGGTCTTTTTATTTCGTCTTTTTTAATAGTTAATGACATATACAACGACACATATATGGTATACATAATGACATTAATACATTACAACTACCAAAATAAACTAAGGCACAAAATGCAAAAAATAAAACATCGTCATTAATGGTTGTGAGCGGCAGAGGGAGCTGTGGCTTTAATTTTGACAGACTTGATTTAGCATTTAACACTATTATTATTCTTGGGAAGTTCTTTTTACATAAGTACAGATTCTTGAGAATCCCTCTAAAATGTGATGTATTTCACAAGGAACTATGTCACTTAAACGAATGAAGAAAAATGCCTGAATTGTCTGTTATTTAATAAAGCACCCTGAACTTGCTAAAAACCCCTAGTTGTTGTTGTCGTTTTCTTTCTTTCTTATGATGCTTGTCTGTAGGCTGATTAAGGAAGTTTGTATTACTGTATGTACAAGGCCATTTATAGTGATTAAAAAAGGAACTTTTACCATTGTTGTATGTATTTGATAGTAATTAGTATAATATGAAACACAAAAAATTAACAATAGAAGAGCAAAACGAATTGATTAGCCTATATTTACACTCACAGAGTGAACTTGAACTGTTGTATTTTTGTTGTATCTAAAAAGGTTGTTATTGAGGTGTTTCTGTATTTTCAACACATTTCTAAACCTAATATTTTTAATAACCAATTTCTAACACTTTCTTTTGTCTTTGCGATCATGAAAGTAAATAATATTTTCATAGATATTTTAAGACATTATTCAGCTTAAAGTGACATTTAAAAGTTTAACTAGGTTCATTAGGCAAGTTAGGATAATTAGGCAAGTTATTGTGGTTTGTTATCAGATATAGCTTAAGATATATATAGCTATATATGGATAAACAAGATATAGCTTAAGGCTAATATTAGGACTATTGACATTAAAATGTTTTTAAAAAATTAAAAACGGCTTTTGTTCTAGCCAAAATAAAACCAATCAGACTTTCTCTAGAAGAAAAAATATTATAGAAAATACTGTTAAAAATTCCCGACTCTGTTAAACATCATTGGGGAAATATTTAATAAAGAAAAATCACATGAGGGCCAAAAAATTAACTTCTGTACATACAAAAATGATTATTAATATATAAAAAAATATTGTAAAATATACAAAAACAACAATAAATAATCAAATTGCATAATCTTAATTGCTTATTCTCAAATATTAATGTTTTATAGCAACACAAAAAGTTTATGTAATTAAATATAATCTTCTATCTACAGTAAAAACATTAAAAGCAGTTGCATCCCTAGAGCTTAATCATTCTGTTATTAATGATTTGTTATCTTTATGCTTACATAAAACACAAGCTGTGGATAAATTACCCATGATCTTTGTAACCTGTTGTCATTGCTGATTATAGACAGACAATATACCACTGGCTTATGTGTTTTTTATGTTGTAATATTCATTTGCATTGCTTCACTTATACAAGTAAATAATATGAGGGTGTGCTAAAAGTATTCATTAACTTAATCAGGTCACTGTTATACATTTGTGCTTATGGGATTAGTATTATTTTGACAAAAATGTCAGCACTGTGACGAGCCTCTTACACAAATACACATGTAGATATGATGGAGACAGAATGTAAATAATTCTGATCTAGAGTCATTTTTAGAGCTGGTAAGTGGGAGAGACACTTGGAGAGCTCATTCACAGATGACAAATGGGAAACAAGATGTGAGAAAGCCCAGATTTTCTCTATCAATAGTCGTCATAAACTCATCCAGTTTAATATAAAACAAGTAACTCCGGATTGCACTCATTTAAAAGCTCCTACCCAAAGCTTTGTCTTATGTAAAGCAGATAAAGAGACTCTCCTACATATGCTGTGGTCTTGCGCTGACTTTGAAGAATATTGGAAAGAGGTCTTAGATTTTATTGCCATAGTTGTAGGTACTATTGTGCCTAGAGAGCCTAGACTTACCCTCTTAGGGGACTACTTGATCAACAAAGCGTTAATCTGAGATTTGTCAACTACTAGCAGCCATAAAACGCATTACTCTGAGATGGAAAGATTTCAAACCACCGTCCATGTGGATTAAAGAAGTGTCATCTTAGTCAGTTGAAGTCAGAATTATTAGCCCCCCTGAATTATTAGCCATTTATTTTTTCTCCAATTTCTTTTTAACGGAGAGCAGATTTTGTCAACACATTTCTAAACATAATAGTTTTAATAACTTATCTCTAATATCTGATTTATTTTATCTTTGCCATGATGACAGTAAATAATATTTTACTCGATATTTTTCAAGACACTTCTATACAGCTTAATGTGACATTTAAAGGCTTCGCTGGGTTAATTGGGTTAACTAAGCAGGTTAGGGTAATGAGGCAAGTTATTGTATAACGATGGTTATCAAGATTAAAAAATTATCTTAGAGGAGCTAATAATTTTGTCCTTAAAATGGTGTTTAAAAAATTAAAAACTGCTTTTATTCTAGGCAAAATAAAACAAGTAAGACTTTCTCTAGAAGAAAAAATATTATCAGACATACTGTGAACATTTCCTTGCTCTGTTAAACATAATTTGGGAAATATTTAAAAAAGAAAAAAAATCTGGGGTTGAATAATTCTGACTTCAACTGTGAAAAAAAAAATTGTGTTTCGTCTGAAAAAGCGACAAGATTTGTTTGTTAAATGCTAGGGCAGCTTCATTTCTTGGGTATAACAGGACAGAATGCTTTGATAAAGCATTTTAAATGAATTGTTTAATTTTATTCATGGTTTATTTATGGCACTATGCATGGGCTGAAGGTTTGGTGCATGTATAGGGCACTATATGTGGGCATGAATGATCCATTTAGATGATACTTTGTTGCACTTTGTGTTTAACTTGGAAAAACCCAATAAACATAATGTTCAAATAAATATAGATACATTTTCAGAGAATTAAAGTAAAAAAAGCATTTTATATGCAATTAAATTGATTATTAATAATTAATACACTGTAAAAAAATGCTGGGTTCCACACAATTCATTCAAGTTTTCTCAACACAAATTGATTAAGTTAACGTAACAAATTTAAGCAGATTGAATATAAAACCATTAAGTTGTCCCCAAAAAAATCTCAAGAATTGTGTTGATTCAGCTCATTTTAATTAAGTAGTTTGAACAAGCAGCAAAATATACATATTTTGAGTGCATAATCAATTGAATCTTCACTTTGTCTTGAATTTAAACAGCAATAGGATTAGTGCTGCAATTTAACTAATCACGTAAACTACTGTAAAGACACTTCCCATCAGGAGCTTGTTCTGCTTTTATTGTTTTTTTTTTTTATCAGGTCTTTTTCTTCACTGAAAAAAAAACATGTCTGCAAAATTGTTGCGAACAATTTATATCTGTTGAAGGTTAAAAAACTAATTAAATGTAGTAAATTAGGCCCAAATAAATTGTTTACAACCACTTCACTTAAAAAAAAAGTAAATCCTAGAAATCACCTTTGATTTTTTTTTCAGTGTTAGATCGCCTCTTACAGTTTCCTAAAGACTGACTTTTTGTTTCTCATCATTACTCCTGGTTAAAAGAGACCAATGATCTGTTTAAGCTCTTGATTCAGCTGAAGCTCTGTTGACTGTCATCTAAACAGATTGTTTTCCACTTCTGTAATTCTGCCACTTGCTGTCTATTGTTCTAAAGTATATCATATAACACATTTATCTGGTCTCGGCTTTAATTGGTTTGTCAGAAGAACATGTTATTTTGACGACAATACATTTTAAAATAGTTCCTTCTGTAATTTTTACAAACCTTTGATTATTATTAGTTTAATCCGCAAACATTATATTTGTAATGTGACACCAAAAAAAAAGAAGAAATGTGTATATCAAAATATTAGCTCATACAACGTGTTTGAACTTGTTGTAAATA